TATTAATAATTATATATTAATTAAATATAATATATAAATGTAAAAAAAACTTAACGTATATGATAAAATATTTCATTTATTATTAATGTTTATATTAATTGAAATTATATAATTAAATATTATAAAATATATTTTTGATTTATAATCCAACAAGGCAACAGACAGCTTATAGCTTCTTCAAATATTCCTCAACCTGAAGATCCCCTTTATAAGGAATTTTCTGTTGAGAAATTATCAATTTCTTCTATGGATGAATATTCATCTTCAGTTTCAGATTCATTTGAAGAACTAGTTGATTCTATTATTGCAATTTTTTTTATCTTTTTCTTTATCAGATTTTTTAACAGATTTACATTTATTAGCATAATGACCTTTTTTTACCACATTTATAACATGTAGGAGATTTCTTTTTAGTTAATTTTCTAGTTAATTTTCTTTTAGCCCTATATTGTTTTTGATTTTCAGATAAGGGTTTCTTAGTTCCCTTTTTAAATTTTTTCTTATATCTAGAAGTCTTAATTCTTTCTATTCCAAATTGATCACAGAATTGACCTAATTGTTGTCTTTCATTTAATCTTTGAATTTTTATTTGTTGATTTAATTTAAGTTCATTACATAAAGCTAAACCTTCTTGTATACATTTTCCTATTAGACTACCATAAGAATGTTTATCATAAGGAATTTGAGAATCATTACYTCTAAGAGWTTTYCTAACTCTTTCTGCAAATAAATGAGGAAGTCCATCTATAAATTTCTGCTTCCAATAAATAGAATTACAGTCTTTAAGTTCCATAACCCTACTTAAAAATGTATCTTTATACCATCTRAATGATGTTAATGTTTTACATTGTAAACCATTTAATAAGGTACGAATATTTTCAGAATTATCAGACCATCTTCCTGTAAAATGTTCAATTATGTTAATTAACAAAGTATAAACAGCATTAGAAACAGGTTGATCATCTATTATTTTAGTAACATTAATAATATTAAATTGATCTTTTTCAGATAAGTAATTATCCCACCARCCTTTAAGTTGGCCAGTAAAACCTGCTATTAGCATATGAGCAATATTAATATCATTATTTCCTGCATTTTTAGCAATAGTGCTATACATAACCATTCTATGTSTCATATTATAAATTTGTCTTTCAGTAAGACCATCAATATTCSATTCATAAATATTTTTACCATGATAATTAGTATTAGGTAATTCTTCCAATTCTTCATGTAAAACATCTTGAGGGGTAGGCCTAGGATAATAATATCTACCCATTTGAGGTTTAGTTGCATATTCAACTTTATTAATTTGAGAMTGATCTTCTAAATCARMTATTTCTTCATCAAAATTTTCATTGTCTAAAGTATTAATGTTTAGTTTAGAAATTTTTGATTCAATACTTGTTAAGACTTCTTCTAATTTAGATGTATCTTTTRATTTATAATCTTTTATTTCAGGTGGTGGTTGAATTGTAGCCATAATTTTATCTTGTTTAGATAAAGTTTTTACCTGTTTTCTTTTATTAAGAATTTCATTTATGTTATCAATTTTATCATGTAAAGATTGTATTTTTTCTCCTAATATTATAGAATATATTCCTTGAAAATTCTGTTGTTGAATTAATTTATTAATGTGATCAACAGTAGTAGACATATGAGAACTTTCAATTAATTTTTGATAAGCTGAAAAATGAATAGTTTGATTTTCCTTTGTAATAACAAAAGATTGTTGAGGGGGAAAAACAGATTTTTGTATATTTCCATTMACAAGAGTATATTCTCTTTCAATAGTATTTAAATAGTTTTAAAGATAAGTATAACAAAACCATGGAACAAAATATATAATTTTGTTAAAATGACTTGCTTGATTATAAAATTCATTTTGGAAAGATATTAGCTCATCTTTTGAAAATGTTTCAAAAAACCATTCTCTAAATGGTTTCCATTTTTCTTGATTAAATTCTTGACTGATATGCAGTCTTGCAGGAGAACCTTTAGAAAAATCAATTATATTATCCATCACATAAATCATGTCATCCATTATAACTCAAAATTCATTTCTGAGGCAGTAGGATCCTCATCTGTTTGAACAATATTATTGTTAAATTTTAAATGCTCTATTTTTTTTTATTAATTTGAGAGGTTGAAGCTCTTGCCGGAGTTTCAATTTGATATTCTATAGGTGATATAAAAGATCTAGTCGAAGTGGATCTAGATAAAGATTTTTCAATTAAGGTCTTAGAATTCTTTTCAAATTCTATTTCAATATTACCATCTGGTGTTTGTATTATATTAGTTATTTTATTCGTAGTTTGTGGTTTCGGAGGGACAGTGTCTTTTAAAACCCAATGTTTAGGAAATTCAATTTAATCCCATTTTATAGCTCTTCTTGTTGTAATTTTAGACATATCCAGATTACTTTCTATTAAAATTGTTTCATTATTGGGTTTTTTCCATCTTTTACATCTAGGATTCAATGTAACTAATGGTCTATAATATATTCTATAACAAATAGAAATTAATTCAGATCCTGATGTATAATTATAACCATGCGTTTTAACATTCAAAGTTAAAGCATCTAATATATTTATATCAGATAATGATAATTGTAAATTAGGATAAACATTAAAATACACTGGACCATGAACCAGACTAGATTGTATAATACCCATTAAAGATTGTTTCCAATTTCTATTACGAGCATCTCTCAATACTGCTAAAAATGATGCAGGTAAACTTTGTAAAGTTAAAGGTTTAAAAGCAATTTGAATTAATCCTATATGAAGGTAATTATATTTTTCTTGATATCTAATAATATCTGCTTGATTTAATAATTTAATAATCATTTCATTTTCATTCATAGAAAGATTTTCTTCAGTAGTTTTAACTGACTGAATAAAACCTAATTCTTCAAAAGTACCTAATTCATATAAGATTTTNTTTTAAATTTGAAAATTGTGTTTGTATTCATCCCCCCCCTTCTATAAACTGTTTAGTATTCTTGTAGACCCTTTTGGGACCAACAGTTTAGTTTTGAGAATAGTAGGAACTCAAAGTATTTGATGATATAGTGAGTTGATTCATCCCATATTTAAGTTGGGGGATCATTTCTTATATCAATTGGTGGAAAGATCAAATAGTTAGATATAAGATTAGCAATGTGGTCATTCGTGTAATCAATTATGGCATCAGATCCATGATAAGAGTTTATGATCTTGATTAGGTGCATGACTAGTTGAAGGATTTTACAATCAAGAGTTGGAATGTCGAAATAATATGTAAACCATATGAGAAGATCTAAGGGTCCTTACGGGATTAGTTTCTTTAAAGAAAATGTCATAATGGTTCAGAGGCTACTTGGGAACTTGATAAGGGGATGAGATTGAGATGCTCTCATTTATTTGCATAGGGCAAATTTCGAGGACGAAATTTTGTTAAGGGGGAAAGTTTGTAATAACAAAAAAAAGAGAAAGAAATTGAATATAATATTAATGATAAGAAACTCAATTGTCATGAAACCTACAAACATTAATCTTGGCTTATCGTTTCATATTCTGTGAAACCGCCGATGACTAAGTATATATATGGGGAGGTCCTCAAGCATAGAGATGACAAATTCTCGAGGAAGGAAACTCGTATAAGAGAGGTGAAAGATGGGGATGATTTGGTGAAGCGCAACAAGTTTATGCATTTTTTTGGGAGAACATGAGGAACTTCGAGGAACGGTTTGGAGTTATGACCTGTATGGTGAGTTACACGTGATTTATTTTTAAAATGGTTGCATGCCTTATTATCCAAAAGTGGTTTGAAGTTTCTCGAGATTTTTGATATGTTGTATATGCGTGAAAAGTTTGATATTTTTATAATATATGTTTTGAGTATTTGTGTGTCAATGGGCATGTACTACGATATGATTTTGTAAAGACGAGCATGCTTAGTGAGCTTGTCTAAGTCGTAAGTGCGGACATGCTGTGTGACTTCGCCAGGTAATGCTGTGTGAGGTAGACATCTCTTATGACGCCGTTGCTTTGTGATGTAGACACGCATTATAATATCTTTACTTTGTGAAAAGTATTATTCTCATCAAGACATGCTAATTTATGAAGCTTGGTGAAAATTGTTGATAGATGTGTGAATAAAGATTGACTTATAGTAATGAGAGTGGTGATTTAAGTTAATTTGGGGTTAGTCTTAAACCAACTTAAAGCAGAGAAATCATTAGAAGGTTTAATATCATTGGATATAATGACATTGATAGAGATGTGTTTATGCAAAATTGATAAGGATGGTTTATTACATGCTTAAAGTACCTATTTCTTATGTTTAATAGGTAGATTTTCATAGTTTATCCCAACCTTGAGTCATTTTTACTTCCTTATTTTC